ACATTCAAAAATATCCAAAGGAGCTTCCTGGCACCTGGGAAAGGCAAACAGTAGAGTACGGTATGAGTAATGTTTTGCAGATCTAAATTAGCTACCCAGCTCTTGGGTACTTTGGTAAGTGCAAGTTAGGGGAGAAAAATGATACCTATTAACATACCAAATACTTTAATATTTTACCAATAGTGTTGTAATAATACCATTTTTAAGTGGAATTTAATATTTTATAATAGGCTGAATTATGAGAAATATTTAACAATAATTTATACATAACAGTCTGGTCTTGCTGGCAGTATTCAACCCATCCTTCTACTGTGGCTTGCTGATTTACATGTGTGTTTTTAAATCTTGCTATGTAGAACTATCTAGATTGAGAAATCAATAGGAGAGACCTGTCTACTGCATCTGCAGAACTGGCAGGTGTGATCAAAGATCATAATGAACAGCTTGTGCTGTAAAACTTGTTCCATGTCTTTTCACATTAGTTTTGTGACCTGTGGTGACTAACTTGTTTAAACCTGCTATTTGCCAATTCCATGAATGAAAACAATGCTCTCGGCTCAAGTTACTGGGCAACTTTTCCAGTAGATTTTGTGAAGTCTCGGTTTGGAGTTGCCTGTTATAAGTTGTCTTGCTTTGATTATGGGATCGTTGTCGTACTCTTCTTTTTCTGTATCCCGGAGTCAACTTGGACAACAGTCTGGGCTTATGGTACTTCAGTAGCACAATGCCTGATCCATTTTTTTGTGTCACATAACTGTGCATTGAGTCTTTGTAAAGTGGACTGGAGACTGGGTCCTGTCGGGGAGAAGCAGAAACGCTTGATTTTGCTGGGTGGTGCTTCAGGCAGAGGAGTTCCTCGCTGCAGGTTACAGCTCAGCTGCATAAGCAATTATGCCAGCACAGTTCAAAGGCAGCATAGAGGCAAGACTATGTAGCAGAGTGAAACAAGTTGAAAAGGTGGGCTGGGAGTACCATAAGGCTGATAATGCTGCCCAGCCCACACATCCATCTAATATGGGAAGTTTACAAGTACTTCTGACAGCTAGCTTGCTGCCTCTTAAACTACTACTTTATTATCTACAAGAATGTATTTAACACGTGTTTTAAAAGCTGGTTTGGATGCTTATTTTTGTGACATAGCAATGTTTGAAGTTTGACCTGGGATTACCCTATCTGGCTGGTTAGTGTATGTTAGAAACTAATGGTGGTTGTAGACTCATACCAGGTTTCTAGACTGCAAGGTTTGTATGCACATTTTTTCCCCCTTTTTGTTTTTTTTAAATTAAGCAATGATAACAGGATGTGCAAATACCCAATTTCTGAAAGCAGCCCTCAGTCTGTCAAACTTGTTGACGTTAATTTGATGAAAAAAATTCTACTGCAAATATAGCCTTTACGAAAACTTTACATTATTTGTAGAATAAGTAAGCTGAAAATTTGAGATGATTCAGACTCATTTGTACCTGTAAGAATAGACTTACGTTTGCAACACTTTTGCCATCTTCATTCACTCACTTCCAATGCCATGCTAGCAGGAGTTGCAAGAAGCAGACAATATTATATTTAAAGTAATTTTAAGAAACTCTGAGCATGCAACATGGTTCATAATTTTTTAACGTAGTTCTTTAAATAAGGTGCTTGAGAAGACACTATATTGACTTTTTTTTTTTTCAATAAGACAAAAATTCTGTATTGTTTTTATCATTCTTTAACTTTTAGGAAGATGAAGCTCAGACATTTAGTGCTATTTCTGAATAAGGGAAAACTTCAGGATCTTTGGACAAATTGCCCCTCCATAAGCAAATCCAAATGTCCCAGCTTTGCATGAGCAATTGCTAAGTACATATTAGCCTACGTATTTGCTTACACTGTCCCTGTACTATCAGCATGCACTATAACTTAAGTGCTTTTATGCGTAAGTATGAATCAATCTGCGTAAAGTGAAATTCAGATGTCTATAATGCAATGTGATTCTTTTTTCCACTTCGCACATGGAGTGTTGGACTTAGTCATTGTATTTTGCCACTGTAGTGACAATTGTTTACATTTCCCAGTAAGAACAGTTCCACTTATGGTTAAATATAGGAAATGATCACAAACAAATGTTTAGACATAGAATACCTCATCCATCTTCCAACAGGTTATCATGTGTGGCAAAATCAAGAGCGTTCTGCACAGTATGTTTCTGCAGATCTCCGTTGTTTTTTGCTAGGTCATTGCCTTACCAGTTCTGCTGTCACATTATTAATTGCGTAGTGAAGGCGAGTTCTTCACAAGGCTGTTGAACTTGGAGTTGCAAAACCACGAGGCCTGACGCTGCACCTTTTTCTCCTTTCTGTTGTCCTAAGGTGGCTGGAGAAAGATATGTCTACAAGTTTGTTTGCGACCCTGAAGCGCTTTTCTCCATGGCTTTTCCAGACAACCAACGCCCCTTACTGAAGACTGACATGGAGCGCCACATTAATGAGGAGGACACTGTGCCTCTGTCCCACTTTGATGAGAGCATGGTCTACATGCAGGATGGTGGCTGCTGCAACACCCACCCCTATAACGAAGGCTATGTCTATTAACAACAATGACAGTGAAGGGGATGTTTTCCCCCTCCCTTAGGCTTCTCCTCTTTCACAACACCCAGAGGAAAGCTGAATCGACTTCAGTTTGTTTTTTAAATAGTACACTAAAAGGGGCTTTTCCTGTTGCATTACTCCTATGGTCTGCCATGGACAGCGCACTTTATTTGAAAGGGGAGGGTTGGAACCTAAACGTTATTCTGTGTAACAGGAGGAAAAGGGTGGGTTTGCTTTTTACTTAAGTTTGGGAAGGGAACGTACAGGTTTTAAGTACAAAAAAGCTATATCATGTCTGTTTTGTTTCATATCAGCATAAGATATTGTACATTTTCTCTGGGTATCTGTAGTACAGTTAATTCTCATTGTGCAAAATAACCACTTGATGATGATATCAGCACAGTATGCCTAGGGCATTTGTTTCTTGCCATTTTTAATTGTCTTTCTGCAGTTATAAAAGAGAAGCAAAGCGTATACCACAGCATTTAATTTAGAAGCTTGCAGTGGCAGACCTTGCACCTTGCCTCTGAAAGCAACCAGACATCTCAAGAGTTTTTCCTTCTTTTTTTTTTGTTGTTGTTGTTATTGTTTGGGTTTTTTTCTTTCTTTCTTTCTTTTTTTTTTTTTTTGGTATGGCCTCAGAAAAAATCCTGTTTAATGCTAGAGTGGCCATAAGTACAGCGACCAAGCAGCAAAATCCCTGACTTCAGACTGCAAGCCACATGCTGCATCTGATATCACGTTGCTATACGTATATGGCCTATGCTATGGCTTAGACCATAGACCTTCAAGATCCATTAGAGGGTAGTAATTACATGTGGTAGGCTTTCTGTTGATCATGTCAGCATTAAATACAGGATCATGATCGGGAGGGAGAAAACATTTTGTATCCTTCCATTTCCTTTGGTACATAAATAAGTTATTTAATCAATAGGAATTAACTGTACTAAGTCACATATCTAATTATGCTGTTTAGATACAGCAAGCACTCCTTGAGAAAAATATCCAATACACTAAATAGGTACTTTAGTAATTTTTAGACACGGTACCCATTAATATGCATTTAAACCTTTTACTGCTGTGTTATGTTGATAACATATATAAATACTAGATAATGCTAATGCTTCTGCTGCTGTCTTTTTCTGTAATATTCTCTTTGATGCTGAATTTACTATGACCATTTATAAGCAATGCTGTAACTACAGGTAGCATTTCAGGACAAAATAGATGACTTGAACCATTTATTGCTTAGAAAATAGCTTACGCCATAGCTGTGCTATAAGCAGCTTTTATGCGCATCCACAAATGACTAGTAAGCTTCAGCTTGCTAAGGAAAGCTCTGCAGAACCTTTTGTAATTTCGGTGGAACGGAGACTTAGATGAACTGTCAAAGAATACCATGAAGTCGCTGTATGACGTTGTAGTGCTGGCACTGATATTACCAATCAACTTGTTTTGGACACTAAATGTAAATGTGATCAGATATGCTCAGAAGACAATTTAAATTTTGAGGGTTTTTTTTGTTGTTGTTATTTTTTCAAATTGTTTTATTTTTTTGAGAGGGATAATCCTGAACACAAGCCACACATGCTATTCTGTATGTAAAATGAAAAAAAAAACAAAAGCCCTTACAACAACCCAAAAGTTTTAAATATTTATGAGCAACTTTTCTGAAATGTATTTTCTAATTTGAAGAGAGGGAAAGATGGTAAGATCTGGATTTCGTTTTTTGCCCAGTGAATTTTAAATAGGTGTTATATGGAGTACCTCATTTTCCTAGATTCCCGAGAAGTGAGAGGAAAATGGATGCATAACCATAAAACAAGAATAATTTTCATCATAATGGATGGATTTCAAAGACAATCCTAGGTAGTGGGTTAATTTTCCATCCTCTGTCAGTTAAGATACTAGTTAAGCTATGAATATTTTAATATGCAGTTAATCAAAAGTAAAGAAGTAGTGGTCACTAGAAACCACAGGTGCATAAAAAACATTTGGACAGGTATTTAATTTACTCAGATCCATAAGACAACATATTTTATGGGAGTGTTTATACGCCTTAATATGTCACCTAATTCTGTCATCCACAAGTCTCAATGGCACTTAAATTTTCAGAGGTCAACCCAGAATCAGAAGTCTAAAATTGCAGAATTAGCAAAAAGGAAAGGGAAAAGGTTGAGCAAGATTGTTTAAAAAAAATGTAGTTTCCATTGAAATAAGGTTCAAATGAAACATGCTTTGATGAAAAGTCCTTGGATTGGTTTTGGTTCTTTAATGTCAGCGTGGAGCGCCTCTTGCCTGTGGCAGGATGTGGGTTTTTGGGAAAGGAGTTGGACAAAAAATGAAAAAAAAAGAAAAAAAAAAAAGAGGAAAAAATGCATCAAATGTGTAATATTTAAGAAGAAAAAAAAATATATATATATATCTGTATACGGTAGTGACTCACTGAACAAAACAAGCAATCAGACCAACATTACATGATCTCTCAGCAGAAGATATAAAAGTTATTCACTGAACTGATTAACCCTTTTTAAAATGTACCTAAGAGGTTTATTTAAAGTCTGTTTTTATTCCACTTTTTGTTTGTTTGGGGGGGGGGGGGGTTTGTTTTTTTGGGGTTTTCAGGTAGAATAATAAATCTGGCAGCTGATTTCTGCAAGATTGTTGTGTATTGGATTCCTAACCATTTGGACTGGAGAGGCCCCTGCAGTAAGGTTCTTCTTTTGGAAGAGGAGATGATGGTCTGTTCTCGGTGCCAAGAATGGCTTCCTGCAAAATGTAACCAAAAAAAAAAAAAGGGAGGAGTATGTGCAATTCATGCGTATGTATATTTGAGTTATAGCCAGGAATTACATTGCCAAAGCGTCACATTTGACTGACAAAAGGGAGGAGGATGGTCTACGTAAAGTTTGATTCCAACTAAGAACACTTGCACGTTTTCACAGGGCATTTTAATACCCTACTGAATTTGAATGTGGGGTGTTTGGGGTGGGGGTGCTGGATTTTTGTTAGGTTGGTTGAGGTTCTTTCTGGTTTGTTTTCAAGCTGTGTCAAAAGTGGAGGGAAAACACAGGCTTCACCTTTGGTTATAGGAGGAGCTGTAATGGAGTTAGCTTGTGCGTGTTTGCTTGTGCGCCTTTTGCTGTCCGGAGCAGTGGGCAGCCCAGGGTAGTGCTACTGCGAAGTAAATCCGGGAGGCATCACTGCAAGACCCATGCACCGTGGTACGGCTGTAGGTGCTTGAGTTTCCTCTGTTGTGACAGTTCAGTTGCAGTGGTAGCCAAACAGAGGTGAAAATAAATAAGGACTTGGCAGATCCCCTCAGAATCTATTTGAGAAAGTTAAGATTACAGGTTTAGGGCAACGCACAAATTTTGCTTTAGGTATATGACTTTCTGTGACACACAGCCTAAGCCTTTTCTCTCCAAGGTCCCACCAGTCTAACTTTCGCACACACCAACTATGGTGCAAATCTTTACATTCTCTGAAAGCACAGATTTTGTATGCTTGTCAGACCAAATCTGCCTGCTTTACTTACAGTTGGCTGCTGTGGTAACTAAGGGGAATTGGGATACAGGAACATTAAGGACTGTTTTCTCCAGTATTTCCCTGTGAAGAGCCCTTTGCTCAGAATCTTTTCGTCTTTGGGATTCTGTGGTACCTGGGACTAATCCCCAGGGATTAATGCTTAGAGTTTTATTGCCCTTGACATCTGACTCCCTTGGGCTGCAAATCTGTCTTCACAGGACAGTATCATCTAGTAAGTATTTTTGCCATGTTAGTGGTTCTTTTGTTGTTTGTTTTTTAATTGCAGGAAATAGATCAATGTGTGCAAAAGGTATTAAGAGGAAATCTTTGAGTTGTTAATGACTGTACTTTCTCTGAAGAACATTAGCTTCAGTTCATGTACTACAGGTAGTGGTGCACCTGAACAGCCCTATTCAATGCTCACATTAATAGCACTGAGTACTTTTCCATGTAATCTCTGATCAAAGATGTTTTGGGAGTCTTAATTCATATGGTATCTTACACTCTAAGAATCATCACTCTGAAATACCCCACTTGGATCTAGCTATAAGAGCCTAGGAGATAAAAGAAAACCAGTTCTCTCTGCTGGTTGGTTGGGGGTTTTTTTGTTGGGGGTTTTTTGGGTTTTAGGTTTTTTTGTTTCTTTTCTAATCAGAGGCTACTCTGCTTGGAAAGGAGGTAGAAGCTGGGAGCAGGTGCCCAAGCCTCAGAAACTCCATTTCAAAGTCCCCTGCTTTTTGCTAAGATACCAGGCTGAGCACTGGAGCATCTGCAATACGTGACTGAGCTCTGTCCTCCTCATTCTCTTACGGAAGAGGGAAGTACAGTGCGTTGTCTTCTGTTGCTTCTGCTACAGGAGTGGTAATCTCTGGCAGAGCAGGGAGATGGAAAGCTGGGGGCAGTAGCATTTTAAAACTACAAGATTGCCCAGAGGTTGTCTGTCAGATCCCTAAGAATCACAAATGGATCAGCAAAGCACTGTACCTTGCCGCCCAGCTTTCTTGACTGTGTAGGTAGGTAGGTAAAGTTAACTTCATCTTTTACTTCAGGAGGTTGAAACATTGTTTTCCCCCTTGAACACCAATTTAATTTCTGTGGGAAGGAAATATCTGTGCCGTCTTCTTATGTAATAGTCTGAAAATGCCTATGAAGAGTCTCGTTGACATTTTCCCAAAGAACTATTTTTGTGTGAAAATGACACAACAAACATCACCAAAAAAAAGGGTAAATAAACTCCCAAGAAGGTCTCCATACATCATGTTCCCCAAAACTGTAGTGTTACTTACCCTAGAAATGCATCATGTCTTTAACACTGCTGCAGTATTATCCTTATTATGTACTTCCATTGGTCTGACGTCAAAAACACAGAGCATACCCTAAAGTTGTTTTTTTTTTTTTTAAATTCGCTTCCTGCTGTTAATAGAGGTTACAGGAAGGGACCCCTGAGGCAGGGTTGCATCAAGCATTTGGATCTGGTAAACCATAATTCTGTGTCTTTGCTCTTGCAAAGCTCCATGGGCATTTCTGCCCATGTCCGTGCTTTTTACTTGCATGGTAGAGAGGGAATTACAGCCATCAGTTGCTTTTTGGTTTGGGTTTTTCATTTTTCTTTTCTGTTTGTTTGCTTTTTAGTTTATGAGTAGCTATGATTTGTTCAGGTTCAGAAGAATTGTCTGTATCTCTTTCCACACTTCATGTAACCAGGTAGATACTTGGGGTCCGAAATAGCCTTCTTGCTGTGTAATCCACCGTACAGGCTATGGCAGTTCCTTGCCACTGCCCTAAAAAGGAAAGAGTAGAGGAGATTTCACTGTTTTCTTTTCTTTTTTTTTCCTTTTCCTCCCCTCTGCAATCTATCTGTGGATATTTTAAACCAGTTTGTCACTCACCCATGATATTTTAGTGAGCAGTGTGCTCGTTAGTTAATACTGTGGTACTTTACAGAAGTTCAGGCATAGAGAGGTGAGTGTTTCAGATGTACTACAAAGGGCTCTCTAAGATGGCTTTCAGTCAAAACCTTGCATGGGGAGTGGCATAGGGCTACACGACCTCAAGAGAGGCAGAAGGAGGTTTTTTTGCAGAGGCACCAGCTCCTCAGAGCTTGCGATGTTTGCCAAAATAGGCAGTTAAGGCTGCTGCCTGTCCGGCGGGGGTGAGCCTGCCCTGGAAGAGCTGGTGAGGACCTCTGTGCCCACGTAGAGAGCCAGAGAGAGCGTGATCCTGGCAAGTCTGGGTGAGGCACAGAGATGGGAAAAAGTCTTCAGGAGCAATCTGGCCATACCAACTAGCTAATCCAGAGCTGATTAGTGCAGGAAGGAGGAGGTTATATGACCAATACAGTAAATCACAGAGATAATTATTTGAAAGACATGCTGCAGGAGAATCATAAGAAATGATGGAAAGTAATAAACTCTGTAAACAGCAATGATTTTTTAAGACCCCAGTGCTTGTGGGAGTGCTTCAGGAAAAGGAAGACAGAAAGTAAAACACAGAAAGGGACAATAATATTAGATGAGAACAACAGGAGTCAAATCATGAGCTGCATTAGGGGACCTGGAAGATTGCAGTGTTTTAGATAAGGAAGGGACTAAGATAAGTATGGAGTCAGTAAACTGAGATAAGAGCAAGAGAGAGAAGGTAATTGGAGGTAGTGCACTTTGTGGTCAGTGGGCCAAATGTGTTAGGCTAACAGAGCTGCACCAGGCATGTGTTTGGCCCCAGCAATACATCCCCAGGAATATCAGAACTGACTTTGGAGTGATTGTTGATAATTTAGTGAAACCATCTGCACAGTGTTGGGTAGCTGTTAAAAGAGCAAACAAGATACTGGAATATGCAGAGAGTGTTCTGGGCTATAAATGTAGTGACTTTATTGGCCCACTGTATTAAAAAAACAAACAAACAAAGAAAAAGAAAGATTAAGTTATAGGATAATGGGTCAGATTGTGGGTTGGTGTAAATCAGCTTGGTTTCCTCGAAGTCAGCAAAGT